GGACGCTGTTTGCACATGCTGACGGTGTGAGTCGAGGCTGAGGAAGGTGAACAGGTCTGAGGGACCTCCCTTGCCGAAGAAAAGAACACCTGTTTCGAAAGCTGGTGCCCATATCTTAATTGCTATTTTATTTTTGTTATTATTTTCGTAAGTGGTTGGTGGATAGAAATGACAAACTCCAAAACAATAAGTTACAACACCAACACGGAAGTTAATATCTGAGGTGTACAAAAAAGAAAAAAAAAAGTAACCTGAGCAAAAACGTCCTTTGGAAACACAGTTAATGAAATAAACTGATGTTTTATATCAGACACACGAGCAGGTGGTGACTATCACCGGACAGGAGTCATCTCATTGGACGGGAGATCTGAGAAACGGACGCCGAATTACCATCTTTCTTCTTCCCTCGGCCTACGTATCAAGCTTCAGACAAGTCAGCGATACTTGCATCACTTTTATTTCCTACTCTGCTCCACTAGCCCAGTTTGAGTCTATCCTAGAGACAGAGCTTTCCCGACCGTCACCTCACTACTCCCGTGATTTCTATCGTTCATTCACCTTGGCGTTCTCTCTGACTTCCTTTAAAACCCCACTGAGACATTTCATTCCCATTGTCTTCTAGACTAGGCTCTAAGCTCCTGGGACGGATTTTAGACTTGTTTTCTTTGCCCATCCACTACGATGCAGTGGGAAACAAATGAATTTGAGTCAGACCTCTAAGGTTTTTCAAATTGTAAGTTATAACCTTTTGGTGAACAACGAAATATAGTTCATCTTTGGACGGACTGATGATTATCTATTTCAATGTAGCTAAACAAACAGCCTATAAGATATGATCATACGTAAGTATGGAGGTTAACTTCTGCTTTGTAAACTGTTAAACAAGAAAAAAAAGTTTATAAAACTTTTTTTTTAATTCAAATTACTGTATTAGGTACAAATATGGAATAACTTAGTGTCATGCAGAAAACCAAAATACTGGTGCTTCTTATATTTTTAGTGCGATGCCATTATTTGTGGGTAAAACTATTTTTATAACACAAAAAATATTTTTATTTGAGGCACACACACTCAAGCACACATAATTCTTTATCATGCAAAACAAGTATCTCATTAAGGTAACCCTTGGGTGTAGACCACAGTTCCAATGTCCACACTATCACATGTAAATTTACACTGGACAAGTCAGTCACACCACTTACCACTCAAAGCTGATTGGAACAGAGCTAGTCAGGCACCTGGCCAAATGACAAGATATGTTTAAGTGACCTATTAAGTCCCTGAGAAGCTGAGGTGAGAAGATGGCTTGAACCCCTAGGAGTTTGAGACCAGCCCAGGCAACACGTCAAGTCCCGAGCTCTACAAAAAAGTTTAAAAATCAGTTGGACATGGTTGTGCATGCTTGCGGTCCCAGCTATGCAGGAGGCTGAAGCAGAGGAATTTGAAGTTGCAATAAGCTATGATGAGGCCACTGCACTCCAGCTGGGGTGACAAAGACTCTGTCTCCCCCCCCCCTAAAAAAGTTTTAACCTAGGTAATTCTATGTGTCAGTTTTTGACGTGAAGGTGGAACAGGGCCTATGCTGTGTAACCCCGAGTCTAACTTGTGAGAACTCAAAAACTCTAAGCATGCAATAGCTCTCAGGGAAAAGGCAGGCCAGCAGAAAGGGAACATTAGCCAATTTATGAGAAGGAAACCAACAGGCAGAGGTGCCAAGTCACATTACTGGCCCAACACCAGAGGAAAATATGATTGCTGCTCTTCCAGAGCCCTGGGCACATGGATCCATTTTTGGAGGGAATTTCAAAGGCTGTTCCAGGTAAACTCCAGACTATAACTAAAACAGCAGGAGAGCAGCCATATTTAACATCCCAGAGTTTCAGCTGCCCGAGATAAAGAACTTGCCATCACAGTAGTCTCACAAAGACTACTGAAGCTGTAACCCTGGTACACAGTAAGTCCTCTGCAAATATCTGGCCAATAATTTAACTGCATGTGAACAAACCAATATTGTGGTGATACAAGGCAGGTCCCAGAGGTACAGCTATCCTGCATGTCAGCCACCGCGCTGCCAGCTTACATGGGGACTTTGGACCCGTGTGGATATAAGGGCTCCCTGCTGCTCAGCTAGGCAGATAACTATCACTTCTAGGACACTCCACTGCCAGAAGCAAGGTTTATTGCCACCCAAAGTGGAAACTGCTCTATTTTTATGTTACTGCAGTTGGATGGGTTTATTGCCTGCTTCAAAGAGGTAAATAATCTGCATGTTTCTCTTGCTGGCAATAATACCTCCCTCTACAGAAGCTGTCTATTGAATGTACAGTCCTTATTTCCTCAAATAATAGAAATACAGGTAATAAATCTTAAGACATTAGAGTATAGACTAATCATCTTTCAACATGTGTTCTGGATAAATTTTTAAAAATTAAGTAAGAAATTTTTAAGAATTAATTATATCTATCTATCTGAGTCTCACTCATTGCCCAGACTGAAGTGAGTGATGCAATCATAGCTCACTATAACCTTAAACTATTGGGCTCAAGCAATCCTCCCACCTCAGCCTCGTGAATACCACAGGTAGGCACCAACATGCTCAGCTAACATTTTTGGTTTTTTAGAAATGGAGTCTCACTGTGTTGTCCAAACTGGTCTTGAACTCCTAGGCTCTGCCAATCCATCTGCTTCAGCTTCCCGAAGTGCTAGGATTACAAGCACGACTGTCCCTCCTCCCCCCTCCCCCACCCAGCCTAATTCTACATGTAGACGGTAATTTTGAAGATGACAAAACTCTCCATCCATCATGGAGACCAATCATTGTGTGAACATGAGCGTGAGAAACAGTCCCATCATTGGTCCTACAGATGGCTATTGTTTTTGAATATATCCCATTCACGTCTCCCAAAGAAATCTCTACTTGAGAACAGAGCTATAATTTAATCTGTGTGATGTATTTAAAAGCACAAGATTGATGAGATCGCCACCTGAGTTCAGGTAAGACAAAAGGCCCAGGGACTGAGCCTAGGAACCCTCCAACATTTAGAGATGCAGGAATGAGAGAAAACCTACGTAGATCAAGAAGCTCCAGCTATACCTGTTACCCACCATTATCTCAAAAGAGTCTGCACATGTGACAGTTTCTCTGCCTGAAGTCCTCCATCCTGTCCCACCAGCTTTGTCCAGCCACCCTCTAGACACTCTCCAGTTGGCAGTCACATCACCTCCTTTGACATCCTCCTGCAGCTGATGGCACCTTGCCCACCAGGTGCTCATCCTTAGGAGATATCACAGCAGCACCAACACGTCCGTCACAGTTTACCACAGGTGTAACTCTGCATTTATTTATGGGATGATTTGATATCGGATGTCTGCCCTGCCAGTCAGGGTATTTGCAAAGACTTGAAAACAAGGTGGAGTGTGTTCTTGCTCTGTCTCCAGGGCCTAGAGTAGGATCTGGTACAGGGCAGGCCCTTAATAAAGATGATGAATGAAGAAGCTATTCATCAATGTCTCTCATCAATGTTCTACTCAATGAAATTTCAAGAAGACCCTCTCTGTCGGGGTCCAGTTGTAGACTTCTATTATGCCCATTAAAATCAAATAACCCTGTGCTCATCTCCTCCCAATTTCTTAGAGTACCTGTCTCTACTGATCTCTGCATACCCTCCGTCTCCTGGTGCGGACACACCAACATCCTCATATCTCACGCCCTTGTTTTCTCAGAAGAATCAATTACAGAAATATTGACATATCTACCAGTCAGTTGCCCCTTAATTACTCAGCTACAAACAGGGTGAGTACTTTCCCCTCATTCTCTATTTTTTAGAAGAGGTTACATAAAGTTCCAACAGTGTTATAACTCAAATAAAGAAAATAAAATTTTTCTGAGGCAGGGTCATTCTGTTGCCCAGGCTAGAGTGCTCTGGCTTCAGCCTCACTCACACAAACCTCAAACTCCTGAGCTCAAGCAAACCCCAAGCCTCAGCCACCCAAGAAGCTAGGACTACAGGCACCCAACTAACTTTTTTTCTATTTTTAGTATAGACAGAATTGGTCTTCAACTCCTGAGCTCAAGGGATCCTCCCACTTTGGCCTCCCAGAGTGCTAGGATTACAGGTGTGAGCCACCACTCATAGCCAAAGGAAAAATTTCAAAGATGATATTAACAAAATCAAAACTGCACTTAATACATAGACAGCTGCAGTAAGTTGTTCCTAGTGTTCATAAATAAAGTCAACAAAAAGACCCTCTGAAAGTAAAATTGAAAAAAAAAATCATAAACGAATATGTACATGTACACACAGTGCATTTTTCCAAAGAGGTCCATGGCTCATGGTTTTGATTTGTTTTTTAAAGCATGGAAAATCTCCCAAAAGGGCAGACCGCTAAACGCACATCCATCCTATGTAATTAGCAGTTATAACACTGAAGATCATGTGTAGATATGACATAACTTCTAAGATACATCATTTAGGAAAAAAAGTTGTATATTTTAAATAATCTCTATATTATTTATGTAAGTACATGTAATCGACATTTTTTTCCTGAAATGTATATATGTGGATTCTGGGAATAGTGCTACCAAATTTAAAACAGCATTATCCA